AACAACAAAAAAATGTTCCTCACTTTGTCAGGAACTCAAGCTTGGAAGGCCAGCAGAGAGGGAAGCCAGCAATAAAGTGTACCCAAACGAGAAAAGATGTTTTTCTAACAAGCGGTTGAGATGAACTTGAATACTTCTGGCTGTAAACATTTTTAGCATTTGGGACTATTTAAAATTCACATATGGGTGAGAAGGTCCTGTGACTTGTGCCAGTCACTTCTGGTAAGGACAGAAGTTTAAATAAAAATTGGCCAGCAGAGACTGAGTGCTTCCATGCAGAGCCTAGCGGTTGGTAAGAGGTGGCAATGAAGGTCGTGCTCCTGATCTTTCCTAGGCCAAGATAAACCAGTGGTGATTCCATTAAGGTCACGTACTCCGTAGTTAAAGGCATGTCATTTTGTGCTTTGGGCAAGTGCAAAGTTTTAGTGATGTGAAAAGGGTCTCGGAGAGAACAGCAATGAGCATAGGCTATCTTAAATCTGCGGAATTTGTAGGAAATGTAACAGCAGATAAATCACCATCTCTTTTTCAATTTCAGCCTCAAGGAAAAAAAGCATTCAGAAGCTGGGCTAGATGTTTGAGGACACAATCACAAAGGCCAGGCAGCAAAGTGAGATCCAATTAACAAGACACTTTAAAGCAACAAGTAGTTTTTCAGTACTATAGCAGAGAGATGATAACCAGGCAACTGAAAACATGTTCTCCAGTGGAGAAGACAATCTGTGGACAGGTCATGGCTAGAATCCCAGGGTGTTTCATACCTTTTTTTTTTTTTTGGCTTTTGTTGTCACTTCAGATTAATATTGCAATCAATGTCAATGACAGAGGGGGTAAGATCACAAAACTAGAGCAGAGAACAGGTTAGAAGATCCTTCAGTGTGTTAGTGCTCAAGTCAGTTGGGCCAGATGAATTTCAGCCTAGGTTAATTGCACCAGCCAATTGTTTAACCTCAAAAGACCTAGGCATAACCTAGCCTAGCTTCTGGGATGTTACACAGCTCAAGAACACACTTGGAAGCCTGGAAAAGTGCAGACGTAGTTCCTGCCTTCAAAAGGAAAAAAAGGAGGAGCCAGGGACTGCAGATTGTTCAGTTTAACTTCAATTCCCGGAAAAATACTGGAACAAACAATCAAACTTTTGTAAGCACCTAAAACAAAACAAAGAAATGAATAATGGCCAACATAGATTTGTCAAAAACAAATTGTGTAAAATGGATCAAATTTCCTTTCATGACAGAGTAAAAAACTTTGTTGATAAGGGAGAAGCAATCGTTGTCCTATATTTTGACTGTGGTAAGGCGTTTGTCACAGGGTAACGTGATATTTCTAAACAAATTAAGGGAACCTGTGCTAAATGGGGCTGGTCTAGGATGATGCAATATTAACTGGAAAACCACACAGAGAGAATAGTTATTAATGACACTTTAAAACGGGAAAGGTGGGTCAGGAAGAGTCTTTTGGGAGTCTGTACCAGGTCAGTGTGATTAAGGTGATTATGAACAGCTTAGGCAATGGAATAGAGAATATCACATTCTTGTCTACCACAAACCTGGAAGGAGATGATGGATGTGCTGACATATAAAACTACAATTAAAAACTATTTAGGCAAATGGTCTTCAAAATAGGATTCATTTCAGTAAGGATGGTTGTAAGTTCCTGCATAGGGGCATTGCCAAGAATAATTAATTCTGTTTGTGTAGTGTGGTGAATATGCCCAAGTAGCCCTAGTAGCAACTCCACATAAAAAGTTTATGTGAGAGATGTTACAGGTCACAATTAAAATATGAGTTAATTGCTAATGCAAAGAGCACAAATGCAGTAATATGCTGTGTAAATAGGCATGGACCCTACCACTAAGCCTTCTGCTCCGTTCTCCATGAGGCCACAGTTGGATTATGGGTGCTGTGCTCAAGATAGGGTCCAGAGGATGGCAATGGGACTAATCAGAGTTCCTGAAATCCAGACCTAGGAAGGAAGAATGAGCAAACTGACTTTCTTTAGTCTAGGGAAGACTGAGGGAGGTCGGGTTACTGTTGTCAGGTAGGTGAAAGATGGCTGGGAAAAGGGGAGTAAATTGTTCTCCACATCCCTGATGGATAGGACAAGTAATGAACTTAAATTACAGAAATGGAGATTGAGGTTAGATGTTAGAAGAAAGAAAGCAGTAAGGATAATGACGCACAGGAGTACCAGAGGAGGCTGTGGACTCGCTATCCTGTGTTTAGGATGAGGTTAGACAAGCATTTGTCAAGAGTGACATAAGTATAATGATCCTGCCTAGGGACATGAGTCTGGACTAAATGATCTTCTGAGATCCCTTCCAGCCATATAAATCTCTGATTCTATCCTAACTGCTGAAGGAAGCCAGGATTACAAGTGCTCCACGTTTGTGGTTTGTGACGCTCACATTCGTGACTGGGAGCCAAGAACAGTCCTGCAGGAGCCATACGCACTGCTTGCTGGTGTGCAGGAAAATGGCAGGTAAAGTCACCAAAGACTAAGAGACATCCTTGGATTAAGAGAGTATAGTGCTGTGTGGTTTATCTTGCATTTCAATGCCTCTGCTCCTAACCATAGTGATGATGCATGACGCTAGCCTTGAAAGCGTTGGTCGGTGTAAAACAGCCCGTTGTGCTTGTTTGCTAATCGCAGCCAGGCAGAACTGGCCTCCCCGAACTAGAGCACTCAGGACTGCTTGCTTCCATCTCGGTGGGAACCAGGGGCCAGTTCAGCCTGCAGCCCTGGCACTAGTGACGTGGGCTGGCACTGGCAGCGCTAAAGCTGCCACAGGCTCCAGCAGACGCTGGGTAAGAGAAATGCGAGCGATTGTTTTCTGTCTGGAGTCCCCACAGGCCGTTAGGGACAGAGCTTGCTAGAGATTATTTTCTGCAAGCACTTAGAGGAGTTTGCATTTCTCTAGCAATTCAAAGGATGATAAGTGGAAAAGGGCACAAGAAAACAGAAATACTTTTTTTTTTTCCCCCTCAGTTTCTAAAGACAGCTTTTACAAACATCAGTATATAAATAGAAAAAAAAAAGGACCCATTTTAAAGAGGTGGCTAACCCAGTGTCCCTTGAAAAAAATAGCAGAGAGCAAACACTGAAGTCCTTTAACTCTGTGTCATAATTTATAGCAGGTTTGCAATTGTGAAATCTCTCAGCGGCGTGGGACAGATGTTATGGTGAGGAAAATAAAACAAACAGGCAACGGGATGGGAAATGCAGAGAAGATGAAATGACACCGTGTTGTAATCCTTATGGGAAATCTCTATACAGCTTTCCAAAATTCTGTACTGGTGAGCAATTAGGAAACTAGACAAGCTATATAAACAGAGCCACTAGAGGTCTGTAACCATTCCCATGCAGTTTCCGCAGTGAGCATGAGTCTCAAGGGCAACTTTGGAGAGGGGAAAATTTCTGCCCACCATCTTCTAAATGATCCCTTTAATATTCTGTCCAGAGCTATTTGCGTAAGAAATGCACACAAGGGGAGGTTTTCCAGTGCTCACTCCTGTTCCTATGGCAGTAGATCAAAGGCAGTAACAATACAGAGTTAATTAATTCAGGAGAAGGAATTCCCACTTGCAGCGGTCTTAACCCAGCAGTGGAGGGAAGGTGTCAATCATAAGGGCAAAGGTGCCGAAACTGGCATGGATTTGTGGTTGTTTTTTTCCTTCACTAAGTAGTTAAGGAGGGGAGTTAAACAGTAAATGTCACCTGAGCTTTGGGAAAAGCTTCAGAAAAGGTTTTTATACATAATCAACAGTTTATAAGTGAGGATGAATGATCCAGCTGCCGTAAACCTGAACAAAAATTGGGTCTAGAGTCTTGTAAAAAGAAACCTCTCCGAGGGAAGTGCATTTTTCTGTCCATGTCAAGTTTGGAGACACATTGGTCTCAGCACTACTCAGGGCTTGCATCCCCCCACTGAAGACCAGCAGCATCCACAAAGGTGGCAAAACTGGACAAAGGGAAAGCTGGGGAGGAGTTTATCTGCCCCTGCAGCCTTCCAGCTTCGTGTAAATCAGCAGAGCAGAGGGATCAAAATGGTTGGGAAGAACCAAAAGTTACTGAGTAGTACCCAGAGGAGTGTGGGCAAAACCGCGGTATGGAGATAACAACAGAATGGAAAGCAAAGGCCTTCGTGGAGGCAGAGCAAGGGGCTGGCCACCAGTACACCTGGGATTTCTAGAATGCCTTAAAGCCAATAGGAAAGAAAAGGGAGAAGTTTGTTGATTTTTCCTGAGCTAGAAATTACCCTGCTCGTAATCTGATGCATATCTAGAAGGAGAAATCTTAGAGGCAAATAGAGAATTTAATTGTGGAAAGAGTGACTACTTGCCTGTCAGAAATATATTGTCCCTGAGTGGGAATAGCACAGGAGAAAGGACCACACATGAAGCAAAATATTATGGGACTCTGTTGATTTTAAATGAATTCATTTCTTCAGTTAATGCCTTCAAAAAGGTATTTTTTTTCTCTCAAACTAAATGTCTAATATTTCTCTGATATCAGTGGCAAAGCTCCTGTTGATTTCTCCTTAAACAACCGCAGAATATTAAAGCTGAAGTCAGTTTAAGAATCTATCCTCCTTTTCCCTTTATGGCCTTATTTTCCTTTTCAGATGGAGCTCTCCTAACTTGGCCTTTATTTATTTCTCAACATGGGGGAAGTGACCCACACGATCCTTCATGGGGTTTCTGCAAGCATGCTCCCAGCAGCCAGCATTGAGCAACCAGAGCTCTGCTGCAGCTGATTTTATAGAAGAGTTGTTAAACCCTGTGGCCAATACGTAGTTCGGCGTAATGGCAATGAAGACTTTTTTTCCCTTGGGCAAAACAGGGACACAGGGCTAATACCTGACTGTGGCAAACTGATGATTTGTCTACCACTCTATGAAATAGGTACTAATTACAAAAATCAGATAATCAGGATTTAGATCTGATGGCCTTTTCTGCTTGCAGGCATCTTAATTGTATTTGCAGAAATCCACTGCACAAACCGATTTAGAAGTTGTTTCCTACCTGCCTCGTCTTTGAACTCCAGCATGTCACAAAACTTTCAGGCTTGGACACACCAGAAAGGATCTTTACATTACAATGTCTGACAGCCAACGTTGTGGGTTTTCACTGGAATCATGCGTGCACTTCCCAGCACTGCACGTGGCAAATGCTCTGACCTACACAGAGATCTCTGTGTGTCCATTCACTTAGGCACATCAGCTGTGCCCACATCGGGGCTCATGCCAAGGCATGTGCGTGTGTGTGTGGTTTCTCATCATATAAGTTTTCACTGAATGAGGAACGTAAGGAAGAATGCACCTTTTTATTTGTAGGAAGGACCTGAACCATCATATTTTATATAGCTTTGGAAAAAGGAAGCACTGCCATTTGGAAGAAAGTTTAGGGGCTCTGAAGAGGACGGCCTCTTCATGCTGGCATAATTCAATTTCTCTATTTACTGGAAATTGCCCCATTAAACTGCTTGAAGCGTGGCCAAGGACAGGCTATATAAGGCCTAACTGTACTCCCTTATGAAACTCGGTAGCAAAACCCTTGACACCTTCAGCCTTGTATTTTGGATTTATCATGTATTATACATCGCTGTGTTTCCTTGGGATTTACAGTTATGGTGTTTTGCAAGAGTTCAGCCCCTTTGCCAATGCATTGCAGGAGCTGTCTCATACTGGGCTATGGGAAGAGCCATACTGGGTCAGCCTCAAGAACTGGTCAGTCTGGTGTTCCATAAAGCACTTTCTTGGGCTGCAGTGCTGAGAGATGGCTTGTCAAAGGCCCAGCTCGTACTAGAGCCAGCGTGCGTGAGAGAGCAGCATAAAAGTCACCATCAGGTGGGACCCACATGCTGTACAAGCAGAAGGAATGGGGTAAGTCTCAGCCCCAAGACGCTTGCTGGTGACATTGCTTCCAAGACAGGAGATCTTAAAATTAATGGTTTTAAAAGTACTGGTTTTGGTATGTTACTACTAGCAGGTACTTCTGGCACCAATGCCTTTCATCACTGCACTTCAGCTGTTATTGGAGTTTGCCACTACAGTTCTATGGAAGAGTCTGTGGGCTATTTGCTTCATAGCTGGAGTTTAGAGACAAAATCTGTACTGAAACCTGAGCTTTAAAGGTTTTGCTTGTTATTAAGAAAGCAAGCTGCAGCCTGCCTCCCCACTTCCCCCTCCCCCTGGCGCCCCTTTTTGAGGGTGACTAAAGTACCAAAAATATGACACACGCACACTGACTTTTAACTGGCTTCATAAAAACATACCTACAATTGCATAGCTTTTATGTTAGTGTCACATGTGAAAAGAATGTGCGAAGCCTAGGAAAGTATGCATAGCCTCATACTAGTCTGTGTCTAATGATACTCAGATATGGGGCTGGCACATAACACTGCAGCGCACAAGCTTCTGACTTTCTGAGCCAGCCTTGAAAAAGAAGGCTGAAGAGCATTTGCCTTCTGTGTGCCATTTGTCTTGTCAGCAGTGTGCTAAAAACAAACCTCTGTAAGCTCACAGTGACGGCTGGAATTGGCCCGGTCCCTGCGCGAGTGAGATTAAGGCAACCTACTTTCTGTGGTCCCTGATAAGGTGGAACTGTTTGTTATGGATGGCGCTGATTTTTCTCAGGGGCATCATCGTGAAGGGCAGGCTGGGACCTACACTGTGAACTTCCGTAACTTAAAGCATCTGACATTCTTCTGTTTTGTCTTAAATTTGAGTTTTTTTTTTTTGCGGGGCAGAGAAAAGTCCCGATATAATTTTATTTTTAGTACCTAAGTGCAATGTTCTAGGAAGTATTTTCACCTGTAAGATAGTGACCAATGCCCTCAGGTAGAACTTCAACTTACGATATTTTTTCTTGAAATCAGAGCTTTTTGTTTACCCTTACTATCCTCTTTTGCAACCCCAGACAATGAGGGGTGGTATGTTCCTGAAGGCTGTTCTAAAATAACCACCCAACAGTAGAGCCAACTCCTTACCTCAGCTTCAGTAATGAATCCCTTTGAACAACTAGTGCGACGCAGTAGGTATTTATGTGAGCAATGCTCAGCCACGTGTCTGTGCACCAGATACTGGGCTGGTTGCAAAGCGGGCAAGCCTCCAAAGCTGGAATAGCATTCCTGATACAACTTCCCCATGTCTGACTCAAGGAGCTATTACAAGAGGTGGCAGCTGGGTGCCCGAACAGAGCCTTTCCTCCCTCCTTCCCCTCGCCGTGCTCGTACTATCTCTCACGACAAGGGAATCACTAGCGAAGTGTTCTGTGAATTCCCATTTCCTGTCAGATTCTCCTGCGGCTTGCACAGAAAGGCACAGAAATAAGTGGCTACGTAGCAAAAGCATATTCTGTTGCTCGGATATTTTTTGTCGCAAGGCTGATGAGACAATCTGAATCATACTGTTCCCTCCCACGCAGAAATCCCCTTCTGTTATAGTTATGCCTTGCATACCTAATAGTTTAGTAATCAGCATAAAGCAACTTCTCTGCAAAGCTGGGAAAAGCCATGTATCCCAGGTGGCAGAGAGTGGCCAGATGCCACCCTCTTCAGTTTTGGCCCACACTGACACCTCAGATATTGACACCACGATAGTCATGATAAAAAGTGACAGTGGAAAATGATTTGATGCAAAAAAATGCAGTTATGTCTCCCTTAGACAGGCAACAATAACTGGAACAGCCTGGTAATATTTTGGTTACCCCGCACGCTTTCACACAAGTCTTGCTGGGCAGTGGAACCAGTGTAAAAGAGCCTGCGGGCTCGTTCAGATCCAAGTGCTGCTCTTCGTGGGCTCACCTGATCGGAGGTGGCAGTGAAGGGGAACAAGCTCCAACTCCAGCTTGCAACCAGCTCTGGGCAGCCCTGCTGGGAAGGGGTCAGACCAGAGGGGCCCCATGGGGCCCTGCCAGCCTCAGCCACTCGGTGCTTCTCTGGTTTCCAAACAGATTCTTGAAGGTAGGTGAGGAAGTGACATTGGTGTGGCCGCAGGCTCAGACGCTGACCACAAACACATCCAGATGATCCGAGCTTTGGGGTTTCATTTTTGGTGGGCTGGATGGGGCACTGGCTTCTCGGGAAGTCCTCTCTGGACAGGTAAGCCAAGAATTTGCTCAGTGCTGCTTGGAGAAGAATGTCACCAGCTGCTGTACCACCCTGTATCCTCATCCTTAGCCAGCTCCCGGCCCAGCACCTCCTCATCCCGCGGCACAAGCACCCATCAGGCACCGTCTGCCCCGGTGCCCGCCGCCTCGCAGCAGCGGCCGCCAGCCATTCACACGGTTTATTTTGGAGGCCCGTGCTAATCCCCTCCGCCCTCGCGCCCCTCGGTTTACAGTATTGCAGCCGCTTCCAGCCCGCGATAGCGGGGTGGCCTCCGGGTGACCCTGGATTAGTGTAAATATTTTGCTTTCTCTGGAAGGAAATGTGACATACATTTGGGATGGAAGTTATCCAGAGACTGCGGCCCTGGGAGCCAAACCGCCGGGAAGCCCCCGCCGCGGTGGTCTGGAGGTACCGCGCTGTCAAACGCGTCGGGCCTGCCCCTGCCTTGCCCCAGCGGGGATCAAACTCATTTAGAGAACGAGAGCCACTGGTTTTGTATCCTGTGTGCCCACCCAGCAGCCAGGAGCACAGCCTGGCATGGCACAGCATGGCATGGCACGACACACCTCCTGCCCTGCCATACCACATCCCGGGAAGGCTGAGCACCAGCACAGAAGCGTGCCACAAACGAGGGGGGTGAGAATGGGGTTGTACACAGATGCTTTCCAAACTAATGTGCGAGTTAGGAACAAAGCTGCCACCAGAAAAAACTTGCTACGATATTACTTTTTTATCTTAAACCACCCTATCGATGCAAGAAGTCACTGATAAGGTGTCTGTCCCTGCCTCCTGTGCATTGCACAGCAGACAGGCCATTGTAAATCCTGGGTGGATTTTGAAAACTGGCTCCCAGCTCAGTGCTATTTGCTGCTGCTGACACTTGTGCTCATCTGCCTTGGTCTCCCTGGCTGTAACATGTGCTTAAAAAAGAATAATAGTACAGTGCTTCAAGGCATACTATACGAAGTAGCTGGTGTCACATTTTACATCTGATAAATATTAATTAACGGTATTTCAGACTACAAAAGGCGCTGGGATCTCATGCATCAGCTGGAGAGAAATGTATCTCCCAGATTTAGCCATAATCTAGCTGAATTATGCATTTGATTTGGCATGGCTGATTACCCCGGAGAGGTGTCTGCTTGTTCAGCATTCCTCCGTCGCGTACGGAGGTGCCGACTTCCCGCGGTAAAGCCCAGCAGCCAGCCCGGGGACTCACGGAGCCAGATCATCCAGAACGGGCAAGCTGCATCAGGTAGAAGGTTTGCTTTTGATAAGTATCCAGAAATTAAGGCACCAACTTGTTGAGGTTTTAGGCCATGCCTAGGCCCCATCCTGATAATCCACTGTTAGCTTAATTATCAACCTTTGTTTCTCCAGACAGTCAAATTTGTTACGGAGCAAATGCATGTGTGTTGGATTCGCTTGTGAAAGCCTCGACAGGAGATAATTTTAAATCAAATTACAGTGACACAGTCTGCCATTAAACCTGAAAAAGAAGGTACCCTTTCACAGGACAATTCCCTTCGTGCGCTAAAATAAAAGCTGAGCCAACTGCAGCGTAACGCTCAGACAGCCCGCAGAGCCGTACGGATGCACATTGACTTTTTAGGAAGATACGCGGCGAACGCTAAACAAACCATGACGTTCCCAGTGCTGCTGCCCAGAACCAGCGCCCTGCTCTTCCTTACGTGCAGGGACGTCTAAACAGCTCTTGCAGCAGCCGCTGACACTACAATACTGAATCCTGCTCTGAAGAACTTAGGAGTGAGTCACGGAGATGGGAATTAACCCGTTACTTAGCATACACACACTGCTGAGCTGAAATGCAGGGCAGAGGGGAGGCAATGAAATCCCAGCTTCCAGAAATTTTCATCCTTGTTTTGTTTTGTTACTGTTATCCTCTCAATCTACCCTAGTTATTGCACGTGTAGGGACTACTCGCCATCCCTATTCAATATGCAGAGCAGCACTACCATGCTGAGCAAGGCTCTGGGAAACATACCTATGGGAGGTCGGGCCTTAGCATGGTCAGGCTAGTCTCATGTGTGCATATTCAGACAGGGCTGGAAGTGACAGTGAGGTCTTGCTTTGGTACTCAGGTTGACCTCATATCCAATACCAGCAGCTCTTTTTGATCTGCTTTTCCTTTGACATTGTCTGTTGTATGCTTCCCCCCGTTATGCATTCATTCCATTTTAATGCTGTTGGTCTGGATTTGGGAGAAGGCTAAAGTGCCAGCCAGCCAAAAGACCAGCCAGAAGAGTGATGATTTTGGCCATCTCAGAGACCAGCTGTAGGAGATGCGATTTTATCTGACAAAAAAGGTGCTGAGAGTATTTTAATTATGCAGTGGGGTGGGTTTGGCAAAAACAGAGAGCTCTGGCTTCAAGTAGAAACAGCTAATTTAGCCGAGTGCCAAAACTTGTGCCAGCTCTAGGTAAACTGTGCTGCTCTTCTTGCAGTGCTCATCCAGTCCTGTTCCAGCCAGCAACAGGAACTGCCGCCGGGTGCACCTCATAAATACAAATAGGCCAGGAGAGACTCGTGTGAATGTTTCCTATGCGTTCACTTCTCGCAAGGACGTGTCTCACACCTGGAGCCCAGCTCTGCCGTGCCAGATCAAAAAGTGGGCATGGTGTTTGCGCTGTCCTGAAGGGGAGAGGACGCAGCCCTCAGCCAACAGAAGTGCCCATGCCGGGGTTTGACAAGTACAGCTGTGGGCAGGAGGGTGGGTGCTCTGCAAATTGTGGCTCTGGATGAGGCTTTTGG